TGCTCTCTCTCTCTCTCTCTCTCTCTCTCTCTCTCTCTCTCTCTCTCTTTCTCTCTCTTAAGCTCTCTCTCTCTTACTCTCTCTTAAGCTCTCTCTCTTACTCTCTCTTAAGCTCTCTCTCTTAAGCTCTCTCTCTTAAGCTCTCTCTCTCTCTCTCTCTGTCTGTCTCTCTCTTCAGTCTCTCTCTCTTAAGCTCTCTCTCTTAAGCTCTCTCTCTCTCTCTCTCTCTCTCTCTCTCTCTCTCTCTCTCTCAAACTCTCTCTCTCAAACTCTCTCGCTCTCTCTCCTCTTAAGGCTCCATCGATTGAATTTGGCAGCAGGAAGAAGACTGTCTCTGCGGCCGGGCCTTGTGCTCCAGCTAAAAGACGTTGGAATTTGTGTGGTCATGTGGAACGGAAAAGGTTGGCTTTAAGATGGGACGATCAAGATTAAGATGAGGCCACACACACAAACAATCGAAGGTCGAGGTCAGTAGTCGAGGTCAGTAGTCGGGGTGCGGTTCGATGCCTTCACAGCCACGGGGCAAGATGACTGATGAGACCAACTCGAGGCACGCTGGTGGATAGCATGAGAAAAGAGAGATAACCAGAACAGCTCAAACTCAGAAAGACAACAACATAAAAAACAAACATTGGCCCAGAGGCCAAAGGCTCGATCAGACGAGCCCTCAATACTCAGTGCGATACTCGGGTGAGCTAAACGACCCGTTGCTTTTGCGCTCTTGGGTCGTCGCTTGCTGCGCCGGTGTTGCTGTCGGCACATCGGTGTCATCGTTTTTTTGACGCTTCCGAAATCGTCGCATTCGCAAGGCATGATCAAAGCGGCGACGCTGCAACAAACCATCGCATACAAAGGCAATGCATCAGACGGACACGCCCATCGTCCTGCCCGATAACCATGGGGTGTATCCAGACCAGTCACCAGGTACATGCCCTCATCCACGTACCATCGAAGCGTAGGTGTCACCTGGCTGCCGTACTGCATCCAAGGCCGCCCGAAGAATCTAGAAACAAACAAACAAACAAACAACCCAATCAACCAACAACGACGGCAACGACAACAGAAACACATGAGCCCTGGTGCGTGCACCCGATGCATTGATCATTGACAAAAGAGTGGACGAGCAAGTCTCAAAGAGGCTCGCCTAAAAAGCGCATCCTGGGCTCACGAGGGTATGTATACCTGGGCTGCGCTTTGGTGATGAGCTTGCTCGGCGACGTCCACGGCTTGCAGGTGGTTTTCGTTATAATCAATGAGCAGCATCACTGCCTGCGATCGATTCAGGCGCAGGACTTCCTCCAGAAGAACATCGTGTCCCTCCCGCGCCAGAAGATGCAGCACCGTGTCCTCGGTTCTCGTCTTGCTGACTAACAAGGTGTCGTATGCCGGACGCAACAAATGCACAGCCTCCCGGTTTCCCGTAATACAGGCCCACTAATGAACCCACAGCCAAGCATGCTGCGTGAGTGCCACACCCTGAAGCCACAACACGGTCACGAACCGGGAGCCACATTCATCACATCGAGCGTGGCGTCAGACGCACGTGTAGACAATTATACCCCGCATCGTCGCAATGCACAAAGTCCTCTGGATGTGTACACCGGACCAACGGCCGAATTGCGTTCAGATTCAGCTATTAGCGCAGACCACAAAGCCAGCGTCATCAACAACCGTGCGTGCTGAACAAGCAAAGATGACCACACCAAGCAGGCAGGCAACGAACATATTGCACAGCTTTGATGAGCGGTGTTTCTTTCTTGCTGGTGAGGGACATGGGCTCGAAATGTGCGTCCAACAGCGCCTGACACCAGTTGCTCGTGCCTGCACAAGTCAAGTGCAAAGATATTAGAAGAGCGTCGCAGCTAATCAGCTCAGCAACGCATCCAGCGCCAAAAGTCCATGCCCTTGCCCCCCGGGAACACGGACCGGCCATGGCAGCATGATGAAGCAGGGTGTATCCATTCTCATCCAAGAAATAGGCCAGGTCAGGGTGAGCGCTAAAGTTAAAAAAAACACCATCGTCAGGCCAAGTCCGCACTTTCCAGCGCTGTTCCCGAGCCACGAGGAGCAAGCGTCCCCAACTGCAATAACCCCAGATTAACCCAAAATGGTAATTGAAGGTTGCACGAGACGCACCGCAGAGCCTCGACCACCAACTTTGTGATAACACCCGCTTTCAAGTCGAGTACTACAAGCTTGGCCAACAGGGACACGACCATGGCCTCGCTCGACGCTCGGCAAAGAATGGATCTACCCAGTATCAAGCAGCCAAGCAGCAGTGAGGATACGCCAGCTGAGGCTGATAAAACATGCAAACTGCAGCGGCTTTTTGTCCAAGACGAGGGGCATGTTCGCACGAGAAGGCGGGGTAATCACGCGTGCTGACGGCATGCCGGAGTTGCTTCCAGGTGGGCAGACGACTGTAATCATGTCCGTCGACCTCCAGATCATGCCCAGCCCGTTCCGCAAGACGCTTATCGACGTGCCCTCGATCATGGAAATCAAACTCGGCGTCCTAACGATACATCAAAATCGTCAAGTAAATCACAGTGCGAGAATGTGCAAGGATCACATGCTTGCGATACAGTTGTCTCCGGACTTTTGTGTCCTCAAAGAGAGGGGGGATGCGCATAGTAGCGCCTGAGGGCGCTCGAGAAGGGCCAACTTGCCTTGCTCAGGAGGTATGAGTCTGAGTCAGCGTCGGCCAAATCATCCAGGCTCAAGGCCAGGGACCGCCCACGCCGACGTCGATGACTGAGATGAATGAGGATAGCACCGACCACAATGGCCAAAAGACTGGCTCCCGCGACAATCGCTGCAATTAAGACTTTGGAGTTGTCTCGTGGCTGTAAGGCTGATCCTGCACGAGTTGTTGGCGTAGATTGAATGAAACTCGCTGTAAATGAAGTAGATGTCGTGGTCGTGGTCGTGGTCGTGGTCGTGGTCGTGGTCGTGGTCGTGGTCGTGGTCGTGGTCGTGGTCGTGGTCGTGGTCGTGGTCGCCGTGGTCGCCGTGCTTATCAATGTCGACGAGAACGATGGGGTTGGCGTGTTACTGGTGGTTGTGGTGGAAGGAACAGACGAATTTGTTGTACCTGACGAGCTGCCAATTGGCGTGGTCGCTGTAATGGGTAGGGTGGTTGTCATGGGACCAGATGTGCTGGGCCCGGTGGTGCTATGGGCTGTCGATGCCGTTGTGTTAATGGCAGTGGTTCTCGTGGCCGAGGTCGTCACGGGAGTGGTCGAAGTTGCCATTGGGGCGGTTGAGGAGCGCGTTGTCGAGGTGGTCCAGGGATCACTCGTCGACGGCGGAGGGGTTGTGGTTAAGGATCCCGTGGGTGGCATAAGACGTCCGCTGCAAGACTTGTTGAGGAATAGAACTTGACTTGTTGCAGAGTCCACGGCCGTCGGGAGAAGCTCGAGCGCCAGCGTAAAGGCTGCTGAAGCGAGCAAAAGGCTGTTCCCTTGGATGGCAAGGGCCAGGTCGCTCGTAGCCCAGGCGTCCCCCAGGGTCACGTATCGAGCAGAGGTCGTGACAGTAGATGCATTCCCCGAAGTTGGTGCCGGCAGCCCACATAGCACGAGGTCGTGTGATTGAGAGGCGACCATGTGGTAGGTTTGTAGCAACCACAACTGACCGTCGGCAGCATAAAAGCGATGCACTGTGCGGTTGAGGACCAGATCGGGTGGGGTGTCAGCTGCTAAGGGCAAGCGATACATGATAGCGCGGCCATCATGCTGAGCCACGACAAGCGTTGGGGTAAGCCAGGCGAGCTGCAAAAACGTTGTGCCATTGCTCCATGCGGGCGCGACCCCGATGGGCTTGAAAACAAAAGAGGCATCGCCGCGATCAAAGACGCAGAGAAAAGCGTAGGGCAGTGGATCGAAGCTCGATGTGTCGCGCGCGAAAAAGGCGACTAATCCCTGTTCTTGGACAACAAAGGTGTTGCTGATGGGGCTCAGGGCGCGTCGATTGTTGTCTGGCTCGGGTCCCCCTGGAGGTAAGACGGGTGTGATGGGGATTGTGACGGAGACGCCCAAGTGACCATCAAAGCTCAAAGGCACAATGTTCCACGTGCCATAAAATTCAGTGAGGCAGAGGAAGCCATCGGCATCACCCTCGGTGCCCACTCGCCCCATGCCTCGGATGGGATCCAGCCCGTGGTAAGTCAAGGTGTCATTGAGGACAAGATACGGTTGGAAATTGCCAAAGTGTACTTCGGCAACGAGGGCCTTGGAGCTATCATTGTCGGTCGCAAAAACGAGGCTGCTGGCATCTCGCGCGGCGATGGCCAGCACACGTTCGGAGGGCCTGAGATGACAATTTTCAATGGCGTAGCTTAGAAGACTAGCCCCATCGCAATCGTGTGCAGGCAAGGAAGGATGCTTGCCGAGGATCGCGATGGCCTCGGCAAAATCTTGATAAAATACGCGCACGGCGCCCGCTGTGGACCAATGAAACAAGAAGGCACCCTCCCGGCGCCATGTAAAATCGGTAGTGTAATTGTGATCCAAGGATTGGCCGACATCACTTGCACACGCATCCAGCTCGACTTGGGTGGTCTAGGGGAGGAAGAGGATGGCCGATGAGCTTGAATCGAGCTCGTAGGCTCATCACGAACCACTTACCGGGGTACTCGTGGCAAGCAGGAAAACCAGCACAGGCAGGCACCAGCCAAAAACAAGCCAGGAATGTGAGGGACAGGCACGGATCCTCGGTCGACCCAGGCGTGAAGCTGCGCGTAATCCCAAATGCCGAGCCAATTCCTTCTGGGTGCAAGCACCTAGCACAAGACAGCCAAGCCCGTCGAATCAGCCCGCGAATGGCCGGCCACAGAGAACGGCAAGCCAAACGGGCAGGGGTCCATCCTCCACCTACCAGCCATGTCTAGCCTCGAAGAGAGAACACCAACACCGCCATCCGCTCAATGGTTGTCACTCAAGTCATGAGCACCTTCTGCTCTCGACGGATCCGTTGATCTTGCTATCTCTCGCTTCGTGTCCCTTTCCGTGTCCTTTCCTCGATCAAGGAGGAGCCCTCTCCGAAGCATCTGCCTGCCATTCCTCCTCCTCCTCCTCCCTCTCCCTCTCTCTCTCCGCAGGCTAGCTAAATTCAAGCCCCTTGAGCGAGAAAAAAGCAGCGGGGAGAGAACGAAATGCGGGAGGAGAGAGAAGAAGGGAGTGAGAAGAAGGGAGAGACAGATGCAGCCGCAGCCGCAGACGCAGACGCAGACGGAGAAGGAGACGGAGACGGAGACGGAGACGGGAGACGGAGACAGGGTGAAAGCGACGCCGCGACAGCGTGACAGAGCCCCACCCCGCACACACACACACACACAGAGAGAGAGAAAAACACACACACACACTCACATTCCGATTTATACTTGAAAGTGTATTAAGTAATATACTTTCCATAAATAGGACTGTAGGCGGCATCGGTATCGAAATGCGCATGGGGTGTTGGAACTTTATTTTATTATGGCGACAAATGGCGAGCAAAAGTATTTCCCACAATATTCAAAGTGTTGTCGTCGGCCCCACCTTTGGATGTGATAATAAAATACTTTTATCTTTCCGATTTTGAAGAACAGCCCAAATTTTCGCTCAACGATGAGAGCGCGCTGCCGACTGCTCTGCTCCTCTCTGGTTTTCTAGCTCATGCTGCGCTGCCGACGCGCTTCGACTTGCCGCTTCTACTCTGCACTTGCCGGAAACGAGAACTGACTCGGATTCAATCGGTTCGTAAGCTTATTTTTTATTTTTTTTTTCCGTGGTGATCGAGCGGCGCTCTGTCGCCGTTTGACCAGGCCGCCATGGCCCCCGAGGCACGACAGCATCCACGGCACCCCGTGGAGAAACGACCGCTGAAATACCAGGCTTTGGATGTGACCCTGGATGAAGAGGAGGATGTTGAACGCCAGCCAGCCCCGCGACCTGGTATCGGACCAGTGCATCATGTTCACTCCGCAGCCCCGCAGGCCACCATGGCCGGCACAACGACGTTGTCGACCGGTCCCACTGTGGAGAAGCATCAGACACCACGTGATGAGCACCAGATGCGCGCTAGCACACGGGCACGGCATCAACGACCTGCCATCTTGACAACAGCACGAGTTATGGATAAATTGGACAGCAATCGCCAGGCCTCCCAGCACGCGCCCCGCGCCGAGCTACGCTCCCGACTCCCCGCCCACCAGATTCGCCGTCAAGCTAGCAAGGTGCAGTCCCCCGCTCCTCTGTTCGGACTGGCTGCCAGGTAATGACATGCCCCAGTTTGCCCATCATCTCACCTTGCACGTTATGACTGTTTTGCTGATTATAGGCGCTCAATGTGGCCCCCGAGGCCCGTGTCTTTGGTCGACTGCACCCCGTTGACAACAAAACCCCTTCAAATGCAACTTCCTTCGCCTCCTCCCAGACCTCCACCGCTGGTCGCTCAAAATCCTTGCGAGGCGTAAAGAGTCGTCATCGACATCACCCCGACGACGATGCCATTGCACGGCTTTACGATCCAAGGTTAGTCGATACAAGCCACGAATGAACCAGAAAAGACAAGCCAACGCCTCTAAAAGTGGAGGCCTCGCCCGTCCTCGGCACCAACCAAGGAACTTGCAAGCCACCGCCAATGCACTCGCGCGATGGAATATGCGAACATACCGGCTTACCATATGGAAAAAAAAAAATCTGTTTGTGTGATCCCACTGCCTAGCTTGCTGCCAAATCGCCTCGAGCTCGATGAGGATCCTCTGCCCACACAAGGGTAGGCAATTGATCTCAGGCAATTTCAAGCGCTCTCTCCCCTAGCTACGACCCCAACTCTTCCCGCTGGCCTTCTCATGCTGCCAATGCCCATCTTGCTTTGCCTTCAGATCGCTGCTTGACCTGCACATTGACCCTGTTGCCCGCGTTATGGATATGCGGCGCCAGCGTGTACACCTATACGCGGCAACGCCTTGATCATGCGATGTACCATGTAGATAACACCTTAATGCTGAGCAATACTTTTCTAAGCACGGTTGCCCTCTTCAGCTTCTTCCTCTTCCCTGTTTGTATTTAATCATCTTTGATCCTTTTGATGACTGTGTATGTGCCCTTTGCACCCTTGATGGTTTCCAGCCGTCTGTTCTTCTGCATGATCTGACAAACAAGCATGAAACGAATGCCAACCTTCAGTCCCTATGGATTGTGGGGGGCCGGCCCTCGCTGCGCGAGCTCTTCAACTCGTTTCTTGGTCACAGACCAAGCCATCATCTAGTTTGCTCGCACTACACTCATATAATCGAGGCGCGACTGCCCAGCATACTGCATTCCCTCACAACTGACGCCATTGGGGCGTTGCGTGGGCCTGTCATAGCCAAACCTTGAGCTGAGCCCGTTTTCGGGCGATCAGTTCATCCAGCTCACCTGTACTGGGCATAGCATTCAACTCGACTACTCGTGCCTTGACTTCCTTTCGCAAGAGCTAGCGTATTGCAAGGAGCAATGCAAAAAAAAAAAAACAAAGAAAAAAAAAACATGAGGGCTGCACCATTGACCATTGACTTACATAAACCGAGAACAGCTGGGGGACAAGCTGCACACTCACGTCGTAAAATGTGTCCCTCAACCCCGCATAGGCCTCGACTGGCACGTGTTCAAACGCCACCTGTTGACATGTCAGGAGCACGATCCAGCCCACCCGAGGTAAGGAGCAATGAGCAGTGGCGCGAAGAGAGAGGCCAGAAAATCAACAGCAGTCGTTGTGCTACACAGCAATACACCCCAAATTGTCCCAAGTATTTCACGACGTACGCGAAGTCGGCGAATCAAAGCAGCCTTTGTGTCCTTCCATGCCGGATGATCTGGATCATGACTTCCACCGCGACTCGCGTCCAAGCCGACGCTGGTGTGGGTACGCAGAGTGGATGCTGAGCGAGTGCGCGGAAGAATCCGGGTGTCAGCCGTCGCTGTGGGCTTGATTCGCTTGGGTGCCGGAGCACTTCGCGGGCGCGGGGATTTTGCACCGTCTGATTCGTCCCAGGGCTCCTCCCGGAGCGAGGAACTGGAATCACGTCGGTCTAGCCGAGGCTCTGACGGAGAACGGTGCTTTGTGCGATATTGCCGGTTCATGATAATATCCATGAGTCCACCTGCTGTGGACAATCCAGGTGGTCCTCGCCCAGAAAAGGTCGGGCGCCCTCGGCGTACCCACTCTGTACTCGGAGTCCCGTTCGCCAGGGGTGTGGAGGCATCCGACAAGCCTCCAGGTGAGGACGATGATCGTAACTGCGCCTGGCTCTCTTCGATTACCGCGCGTATGTGCTGGAAGGCTTGCTGTGCCCGCGCGGATGAAGAGGAGGGGGCCCGTGAGCGACTGCGCCCGCGCTCTGAATCTGCCCCAGTCTGGCGCGATCGCAGCAGAGCCGATGTGACCGTGTCCGTCAGGGGCTCGGCGGCAGAGGCAACGGTGGTGCTGGATGGTGCTAGACCGACAACGGAAGCCAGCGCGAAGCCGTCCTGACTGTCGAGGCCCATGCGTGAGGCTGTGGCGAGCGACTCTGCTTCGTTGCACGCCAGGCGCTGCCACAAAACGTGCTGTCGCATCCACGAGAATGCTGGCTGGGGCGCTTCGCCGCGTGGTGGGCCCCAAAACGCTTGTTGGCCTCCAGAAGAAGCCACCGAAGCGCGCGAGGTCGGGCGATCGCCATCCAGGGTGTTTTCTTCCAGGAATACTTCCGGGCGCAAGTCGTCAAAAGCCTCGTTGAGGCGCTCATGCAGCAAACGATGGACCTCGCGCTGTTCTCGACACCAAGCTCGCCAATAGAGCACATCGTCGTCCACCTGATCTATACCCTGTTTTACCCCATCAGCATCCAAGGCAGTGTCGAGGGTTTCTCCGTCGGCCTGCTCGTGACCATCAAAGACGAGAGCGCTTTGCTCGTGGACCAAGGGCCATGGAATGGTCTGAATGAGTACCATGGCCGCGGCCAAGGACCAGGGTTGCACGTGCTAGACACAATCAAGCATGTTTGTGGGGGTCGAATGGGATGAGAAAGTTGAGTGAGTATGTTTCCCCGTGGTTTGGTGGGCTGCAGCGCAAGCGGAGCGAGGTAGCACACCAAAAGATGGAGGTCGGTGACATCCAAATTATTCCAGACAAAGATGCGGCCCTCCTCATCCGTGTAGACGCTGAGCAGACCGTTGTCCTCAGGCCTTGAAAGGAACACGTTTGAAGCAGGGTTACCAATTCGCATGCAAAGGCAGGTACAAGAAGCGGCCGCCCAAATCGCCAAGGACCTTACTTTTGCGCAGGAGGCGACGTGTGCAGTGAAGATCCCAGCGGCTGGGACGTGAAACGCCGCCCAGCATGAAAGCGCTCCAAGTGGAGCAGGACGGGGTGTGCGATGGTGGTCTTGGTCTGCAGGTCCAAGAAGAAAGGTTGATGGGCACCTGGTCCTGTTGCGTCATGCCACGATGACGCACAAGACAAGCTGAGAACGGGCGCGTGATCGGCGGCGTGATCACGGAGACAAGCAAGACCCTGCCAGCTGGGGTCTTGGGCCACGGCAGCTAGCGGCCACGACGTGGGCTAGAAGCAAACAGGTCGGGTCGATGAAAGAGAGCGGGGCACACACAGAATGAGATGGGCCAGTGGAGCACCTGCGCCTTATGAGCGGGCGCACAAACGAGCCAAAGTCCTGAGTTGCAGATTTGGGCTCGAACGAGCCCAAACGAGAAGAAAAGTGGCAGATCGAGGGACTGACGGTGTTGTTCAATACGGCGGGCGCAAGGGCCGCGGCCATGGATTGAAGATCATCGAGTAAGCTAGGACAAGTTTCGTGTGAGCCGACCACAAAGGGTACCAGCCGCACAACTGGGTGCAGCGCAAGTTCCTCCCAGGCTCGAAGCTCGCGATAAAGAGGAAGGAGTGACTCGGCATTGATGGAGATCCCCACACACTACCGGTGGCAAAGGGGCAGGATGGGCATGGTCGTTATGAGTAGGGCTGGGATAGAGCAGGTGAGTGAAAGGAGAAAGCGGTCGTCTATGACCGGTCGACTCACCAGGCCAAGCTCGAATATCTGATGGGGGTGGTCACCCGCAACAGAGGTGCGAAAATGATGGAGAGCTGCACACACATCACTCCAAGCGGATATGGACGCCTGTTTCGATGGGTCAGCGCGTGGGTGAGCGGGCGAGGGCGCGCACAACTGGCGCAATTGAAACGTAGCTTCCAAGTCCTCACCAAGGTGCTGGTCGCACACTCCCGACGCACAAAGCGTGGAGTGGGCAGCGAAGGTTCAACGAGCGGTGCGCCCGAGGATTCCTGGGTCTGGGGGTCGCTTGGGCCCTTGCAAAGGGGGGCAGGGCTCTGGTCGCTAGGGGCTTGAAGGTCCCAGATCGTGCCAGTCGGGGCGTCCTGGTTTGTTGCCTGCCTCTGCTGCAGCCGTTTCAAATACAATTCAAAGGCGGGGCACGCCGGGAGTGGGTCGCCAACGGCGCATGGGGGCCCCACCAGGGCGCAGGCGGTGAGCACCCTCTGGTAGTTCTTGGCGGCAGCCATACCGCGACGTCTGTGCGTAGAAGTCGTGGTACCGTCAGGCCCGGGCGCAACGCACGCAGACGGTCGCAAATGCGCACCAGGACACGTCCCACCCAACCAGGGCTCAGCTTTGGGACCAGCCCGCCATGCTCAACAAGACCACTGTCCCTGTCCCAGAACGCGCCGAGCGCTGAACGCAACCATGTTGACCAGCAAATTTCCAGAACACACACCCTCCAAAGAAACCTCGACAACGAGCGCCCCAACGGCCCACCTTGCCCCAGGCTTCACCCCACCATCCACCACAAACCACCGCCACACACACACCCCCCACTACCCCCGTGGTCCGGTAGAAGGATCACAATCGCCGGCCAAGATACTGCTGCCCGGGCTGCCCTTTTGGCATCGACGTCGGCAGTTGCTGAGGTCGTTGAACCCGTTGAATCAGAAGAACAACGACTTGAAAAGTAAAATACTCTTGTAAAACGGAGAAGTTTACCTGGATCTCGTTGTACAAAAGGACTGAAATACTTCTTTTGGTCCCTCTCTCTCTGTTTCTCTCACACACACACACACACACACACACACACACACACACACACACACACGAGAGAGAGAGAGAGAGAGAGAGAGAGAGAGAGAGAGAGAGAGAGAAAATTTTAAATTTTTTTCATCGAGTGTGTGTGTGGTGGCGCTGGCGCCGACGCTGTTGCAGACGGTCGGTGGTGGTCGGTCGTGCTCGTGGTGGTGGTAACTTGCGACTGAGCAGGAGAGAGCTTTGGTGTGGTGGTAAACTTAGAGGGCGAGCAGAAAGGCTGAGACCGTGCGGTTGAGGTGGGGATCGGACGCCATGCATCCGAGGAACCGCTATGCGCGGCGCCCGCCCAATTTTGCGCAGCTGGCGGACAAATGTGCCAAGCTGCGCCCCTACGTGAGCTACCCCGATGATTCCGAGGCGAAAGAGGCCGAGGGGCATGCAAGATCCCAGCATCGTCCACGTCGAGCTTTTATTGACTTTCGAGTAGGTTTGCTAGCCGCTGTTGGCCGCGAGCCGACCGCAACTGCTTTCCATCCCTGATTTCCCTCGCCCGCCAATGTGCGCCGAGGGTTGGGCACCAGGATGGCTCATATGGTGGGGCTGGGTGCATGATCGCAGGACACCAACGCCATTCGTGCCCTCACCGAAGCCACCTTAGAATGTGATTTCAATCTCCTGACCGACATTCCCGACGGTCATCTCATTCCCACGGTAGACTGTGCTTGACCGGCCCCATTCTCGTCTCTCTCACTGGCCACAGCTGACTCTGGATCCTGCGGACGGCCAACCCACGAATATTTTGAATATGCATAGGTGCCTCAAAAGCTCAACTACTTACATTGGCTAGAAGACCTGTTGAGGACTCTGGTAGCACCGCCAGACAAAGTCCGCGTCGTGGACATCGGTAAGCGCTCAATCACAGTCCTAGCGGCAGGTATCGCTCCCGGCTCTTGCTCCAAATCAAAGCCCTGCTCATGCATCACGGATAGGTACCGGCCCCATTGCCATCTACTGTGTCCTGGGCGCGCGGTTGCACCCAGAGTGGCAGTTTGTGGGCACCGAGCTGGACCCGAAAGCGTGCCGACACGCTCAGGAAACTATCGCACGCAACCAACTCACAGAGTCGGTGCACATTGTAAGTCTGCCCCACGCTCGCCGCGAACAACAGTGCAACGAGGCAGGATCCATGTCAGACCCAGGAAAGGTGCCAGAACGGCAAGGCAGTCTGGTAGCACAACTGCACGAATCTGTGCTGCTTCCGGACACTGTCCGCGCTTGACTGACCTATCGTCATTCGATGGCCTTCCATAGGCGGCCGTGGAGCAGGCAGCACACATTTTCGGACCTGCTCTCTCTACCACGACTGACCCAGTAGAACTCGAATTTGCCATCAGCATGTGCAACCCGCCTTTTTACGACACCCACGAATCCCCAGCCAACTACACGGGTGAGGGGTTGCTTCCGCTGCTGTCATCCTATCGGCTGAGGTCGGACAGCTTGCGCGCCACCGTGTTGGCCCAGCGCGTTCAGGAACGGCACTTGCAAACGATCAGAGTCATGTGTGCCTACCTTGGTGGCTGGTCCTCGCTTTTTCCATAGGAATCAGGCCCGCTCCGAAGGTCGAAGCCACGGGCTCATCATCGGAAATGCATGTGCAGGTCTGACACCACTACCATCCAAGGCACACCACCTTCCTCCGACCACTCTGCAGCCAGTTCGCGTCCTCACGCTGCAACCTGGACCCAGGGTGGAGAAGTCGCTTTTGTGACTCGTATGATGGAAGAAAGCGCGCGACTGCGCACGCGGTGCGTTTTTGTTCCCTTTTGCTGCTCCCATCTCTTTTGAAACCATGTGAGCGCAGCATTGTCCCGCGATCCTCACGGTCCGAGGATGCTGCCGACCTTTCATCTCTGCAGCGTGGGCTGGTACACGGTCATGCTGGGCAAGAAACGATCCCTACTCGACCTCCGACCACAGTTGACGGCCTTGGGTTGTACCCATGTGGTTGAGAGTAGCTTTGTGCAGGTTGGCATGCACCAACGTACTGTTGTTGTCAATCTTATGATTGGGTAAGACCCTTTTCATGGCGTGCTCTTGGGGTCCGGGCGTTTGGCAGGGCAAGACACATCGCTGGGCAGTCGCTTGGACCTTTCTGCCACGTGCCGCCTTTAAGAATGATCACAAGACGGAACGCGGTCTGTATTGCGCACGAGTTGACATTGGCCCTGGTTTCCGCTGGCTAGCATGAGGATATTTCCTTTGAAGCACGTGTGCGTTTTCCTTTGGCGTTGGTCTAATTTATCCGGCCTGCTCCAGTTTTGTCCGGGCACATAGAGTTTACGGGCCGACAGCTGCTGGAGGCGGACAAGGCTCGGGATTTGGCGTCTGGTGTATCGACGGCGTCGCACGAGCGCCGGAGCGCCACGCGCATTGATGTGCCCACGTCTGGGGTCTCGGGCAAGCGTGGAGCATTGGGAGCAGATGCGACGACGGGCGAGCCAGCGTCCAAGCGCGCGGCGTCGGCTACTCGACCTCGAGCACCTGCTTCTGAAGGGGCCTGGCGAACGGCCTCCAAGTTTGACAAACTTCCCAACGTGTGCCGTCCAGCCTATGGCAGCGTTGTTGGGTGAGCTAGCGCTCGCGCGGAAAGTGTTGAGCGCAGCGAGGTGAACAGAGGAGCAGGCGTGAGCCGTGCGTCGTGGCGAGGGCTGCTCCTCTCTCTCTCTCTCTCACCTAGTTGGCTGACATCTTGCTTCCTGATAGGGATGATGCTCGCGTGTTGGCAGCGGTGCGGGCCGTATTGACTGCTGCGCGCCCTGTTGTCATCCATGAGCAAAGCAAGAAGCGGTTTGAGACATGCATTGCGGGTGGGTTGTGCCCCATGAAACGAGACGCATCCGTTTGTACGTGGCCAGACCGGTCGCTCCTACTCATCGTGACCCTGTCGTATCGGGTCCTGACAGCTTTCAAGGTGTTTTTGGGAGCGCCCTCGTGGCCAGCGGCATTGCAGGCCAGCGGTGGGGATGTAGTACCGGGGCAGGACTGCGCAGAGGTGCCCAACCGGGCTACGGCGCTGGCCGGCTATGTCCTCAATCTGTATCGGCCACGGACCGAGGGCAGTGCAGACGACAAGGCGGAGCAGCGTGTGCGCGTGCGCCTCGAGTGTAAAGGTCGGAACGCGTGTTTGCTTCTGTGGGTGTTGCTGGTCACAGGAAGCTGGTATCGCCTCACCCGTTGCTGCTTGGCCTGCGACGCCTGGCTTTCAGGTGGGGATGACGAGACACAAATGCCCTTCCTCCAAGCACTACTAGCAGCTTTAGCACACCAAGGCTTTGAAACACACGACTGACCCCTGACCTGCATACCACGGCCGTGCCGTAATTGATCCCCTTCGTCCCGCTTTATCCCTATCGCACAACGTCCCCATAAGAAGAACAAGAACAGTAGTATGAAAGATCCAGCCAGCTGTGTAAGTATAAAATAAAACAAAAAAAAACTCAACTCGTGATCTTTGTGTGTGTAGTCTCTCTCTCTCTCTCTCTTTCTCTCTTTCTCTCTCTCTCTCGCTCAACCAATTCATTGTCTCTCTCTCTCTCTCTCTGTTGTTACATGTGGTAGTTGTGCTTTTCCTTTGTGTCTTTGCTCTTTATTTCTCTCTTTCTCAAACTGACCAAACCAATTCATATCTCTCTCTCTCTCTCTCTCTCTCACATTTCTCTCTGTCTCTCTGTCGCTCTCTCTCTCCTTGTTGGTGTTGTGGGCGGATCGGGCGTGGCATCTAGCGCTTAAAAGGAGAGTGGCAGCGACGGGGGATACGCTAGTGCGCGAGTTTGATTCTTTGTGCGCAGCAGGATGGCGGCGCGGTTGTCGGATAAGCAGCACGCCGATGCAAAGGCAGTATTTGTGCAGTTGGCGGGAGCCAAGCAGGCATTAAGCTACACCGAAGCCACGAGTGCCCTCGAGGCGCTGGGCCTTGAGATTAAGGTGAGGGTGCTCTCTCCCTTGTTGCTCGCGCTCGTGTGCGTGGTGGGGTCTTGTTGAGGTCCCCTGTCACCTCACTGGCCCATGCTTGATCAAACAGGATGTGGCGGACTTTGATCAGGATAAGAGCGGGTCGCTGCGCTACCCTGAGTTTGCCAACTGTGTTGCTGCCGCCCATCGGGTATGAGTGAGCATACTGGACTTCATTCTGACTCTTCTCAGAGAGCAGGCTGTGCGGGCTGCGCTATGCTGCGTGGTGTGCTCTCCGCTGACTGCGCCGGTAACACGCTGAACGATAGACAACCATTGTGGATGCCCGATTACTCAAGGCCGCCTTCAAGGGCTGGGACACGCGCGACACGGGTTACATCACACCCAAGCAGATCATGCATCTAATGGAGAGTGGGTCGGGCCTGCCCCTCGGCATCTCCAAGGCTGATGTCAAGGAGATGATCGAGTACATTGACCGCAACGGAGACGGTCATATTGATTTTGACGAGTATGTCCGGGGTCAGCGCATGTGCAGCTCATCCCTCGTCGGTTCTCACACCATTGTTCCTCCCCCTGCCCATGCTCGCGCGTGACCGGCGTTGCCTTGCAGATTGACCAAGGCTCTGTTGGCTTGATCCAACCGTGCGTAAAACTCTTTACTTCCAACCTGGTACTGACAGAGCTGGCTCTGTCGATCTCGATGCTCAAGGCTCGATGCTCAATCAATCCCCTCCATAGTCACTGCCTCGAGCTGCTCTTGTGGGCCGTGGGCCGGCCTCCCCCATAGGCCCTGCCGCTCCTGCCAATTGATACGATAGACATTCCTCCTCCGCTGCACAGCCGATCCCATGCCCAGAGAGGGAGAGAGAGAAGGGGGCGGAGCAGCCAACAGCAAAAAAAAAAAAAAGGCCGGCATTTGTCAGATAAACTGTCGCTTGGGCAAAAAGATTAGATGATCTGGACGAGATTCGAACTCGCGCCCCCGAAGAGATCAGAGCCTTAATCTGACGCCTTAGACCGCTCGGCCACCAGATCATTAGATGCACTAACGCGACTTAATAGTATTTATATATTATGTCATTTTTGTCACTCAAATAATGTCATCAAATTTATTTCTGGCTCATTTTAGCAGGTTTTTGGCTGATTTCTTGGCCCCCCAATTCAGCATAATGACTGTTTCTCATGCTCATCTGCTTCGCGCAGTCTCATGACTCGACTAAGCCTTTTGATGGTGTCGGTGGTGGTGCACCTGTTACATCGTTCCGCGCTAACCTGTTTTGATGCTACATGCCAGGCTTCAGAACGTCGTTTTACTTCTTTCCACTCTTCTTAAAAAAAAAAGACGACGTGAATAAAACAGATCAAATGTTGAGAAGCTATGCTATGGGAGAAAGCACTCGGGCCGATTCCCATGAAAAAGCATTCTAACAGCCAAGGGGACCACCAGCCGCATACAGATAGGAGTCAAAGATCGGTCGGGGTGCGCCACCGGGGATTAGGGCAGCATGACTGCCATCTCCGTGACCCACACCCGAAAGCTGCCGAGGGTAGCCTCACCACCCGCGCTTTTTTAAAACCGAAAGAGATAAATAGAAAAAAAGAATAAAAAGACACCCGTAGGGCCGAGGCAACAGCATACAACGTGGGAAGCGCTTCTTGCACGATTAATACCCGCATCGGGGATATGTCATGACCGCGGTCGGCATTCACACGGTTTGGCCAAGTGCTCAGACCAAAAAACACAAAAAGATTAGATGATCTGGACGAGATTCGAACTCGCGCCCCCGAAGAGATCAGAGCCTTAATCTGACGCCTTAGACCGCTCGGCCACCAGATCATTAGATGACTACAACCAAGAAATATTTACATATAAAACACAAACCGTAAAAACAACGTTGCAAAACTGCATTGTCACCTTTTTTTTTTCTGAAACTGCAACCCCCATAACAAGCTTGAACCGAACGCTCTGAACCACGTGCTCTGTCGGTCGCGGGTCGTGTCGAAGCAAAAAAAAAGCTGCGGCATCTTGCGCTGCCAAAAACAAACAAACACACCCACAGCACGTCTGAAAGAGGCTGCTCATCACAGGACGATGCTCTTTGCAAACAGTGCGTTCAGCATCCCAGACTTGTCTTCTAAAAAAGAAGAAAAAAAAGATTAGTTGATCTGGACGAGATTCGAACTCGCGCCCCCGAAGAGATCAGAGCCTTAATCTGACGCCTTAGACCGCTCGGCCACCAGATCGCATCTGTCACGTTACCCACAAATTCTTCTTTTATTCCTGTTTCTGTCAGACACTTTTGGTTCGATGACAGCCCCCCCACTTTGACCATGCGGCGAAACATAATTTCTTTACCATGCAGACGAACCCAGAACTGTGGACGAGAGCAGCGCTGCTCGAGTGTCAATGCAAAAATATCAAACCATGCTCGTCCGAACATGAATGGCGAGTGAGGCGAGTCAAAAACCACGGCCCCACGTGATAAAAAAAAGATTAGATGATCTGGACGAGATTCGAACTCGCGCCCCCGAAGAGATCAGAGCCTTAATCTGACGCCTTAGACCGCTCGGCCACCAGATCATTAGATGATGTTCTGAACATAAGTATACAATATAAATGATTACAATAAAATCAGAGAGTTGGCTGCTTTTGTTCAAAATAACCAACCAAAAAAAAATTCAGAATCTGATGTTCTTTGCATTTCAAAGTCAATGGATTTTTCTTGTTCACAAACAAGGAACAATCAAAGAGGTGTGGGGAATATTGCCGTGTTCTTCGAAGAAGACCATTGTTGGCGCCTTTGGCCAATGCCAGTTCACGCCAACACACACGCGCACAAAAGGACAGAGAGGAAGCCAGCCGCAAGGAACGGAGAGCCCAAAACACATGCTGGCCCACTGATACGAGACAAGGAACGAGAGAACAAACAGATGCGACCTGAAGCGAGGCCACGAGGTGGAAAGCCGAGTGGGATCCCCAATTGCGGACAAGATGCAAAAAGACGCTTGCTATCTAAGGTTTCTTCTCATCGTTAATGTAAGGAAGCTCGATGGTGTTACCATAGGGGCCACCCACGCCGTGGCTGTGCTTGTTCTCGTCGCGAGTGGTCGGCGCAGAGAGCTCGTGACGAAAATATTCGATGGTGCGTTTGAGCCCATCGAGCACAGAGACCTTGGGTTCCCACTTGAGGACCTGGCGCGCACGGGAGATATCGGGCTTGCGCTTTTGCGGGTCATCTTGGGTGGCCGGTTTATGGATAATTTCCGAGGAGGAACCAGTGATTTCCTTGATATGCTTGGCAAAGTCAATCATGGTGTACTCGTCCGGATTGCCCAGGTTGACGGGTTCGTCAAAGTCCGAGTTCATGAGGGCAATGAGACCAGCCACGAGGTCACTCACATATTGGAAGGAGCGTGTTTGCAGCCCCTCGCCATAGACGGTGATGGCCTGGTCCTGCAAGGCCTGGATGATAAAGTTGCTGACCACGCGGCCATCTCCGATGTGCATGCGCGGTCCAAATGTATTGAAGATGCGGGCCACGCGCACCTGTCGAGTCACAAGGAACAGAAAGGAAGAAAAAATTTGAGGCAATATCACCACATCGATCAAGGACCCAAGACTTTGTTTGGAGCAGGGTGGCAAAGAGACCAGACAAGAGGGGTGCAGCATCGGGGAAGCTGACCTCGACACCGCTTTGTTTTGAATAGGCATAGCACATGGTCTCCGCAATGCGTTTACCCTCGTCGTAGCAAGCACGGGGACCATCGGGGTTTACGTTGCCAAAGTATGTTTCGGGCTGAGGGTGCACCTGAGGATAGAAAACGGCCAAAATGGAGCATTTGTTTTTAGTCGAGAGATGAGTCTGGCGCAGGTGCACACACATACGGGCACCTCCGCCTGAGCGGGACGGTGATGGCAAACGCGATCGATTGCATGGCTTTGAGACAGACCGTAGGATTGCCATATACTTCCGAGGTAGAGGCCAAGAGAACGCGAGCGCCGGTGCGCTTGGCTAGGCCCAGCATGTTCATTGTGCCCACGGTGTTTGTTTTGATTGTCTTGACTGGGTTGTACATGTAGTGGGGCGGGGAGGCAGGCGAGGCGAGGTGATAAATTTCATCGCACTCCATCATGTACGGCTCGACCACATCATGCATGACCAGCTCAAAGTGAGGATGGCCGATCCTAAAGTTGGTCGAGCAAGGTGGGGGTCAAGGAGATTTAAGGGGCAGCGTGTGGGTCGTGAGGGCGGTGGCGGTGTAGGGGTGTATGGGTGTTCGGGTGTTCGGCAAGAGGGGGTAGGGAAGCGAACCAGTGCTCGACGTTTTTGCGGCGACCAGTAAAGAAATTGTCGACGACGGTGACTTCGTGCCCATCGCGCATCAGGACATCGACCAAGTGGGAGCCGACAAAGCCTACGAGCAAGCGAGCGTTGAAGCGGTGCATGTCATCAAATCTCGGGCTGTCACGGCTGGGGTGGGGGTGTTGTCCAACGGGGTCAAGACGCACCGGCACCGCCAGTGATAAGGATGCGCTTGCGATCAAATTCATTGCGAATCTTGACTTCCGGGTAGGCGCGTGTGTTGCTGGCGTTTTTGAGGAGGGAGAGTTCGCGGCGAAGGTCGGACAGCTCACGTTGTCTATTTTTTTTTTGGAAGTGATCATATGAGAATGAGACGTGGCCAGATCGTGGAGCACACGTTGATGCGTTTATGCACGCGTGTTCTGTTGGTATGGCGGGGTGGGGGTGGGGGTGGGGGTTGCGGCGGAGTAAATGGCGTACGCTTGTTGCATCATTCTTGAGTGCTCGTCAAGCTGGCGCCGATGCTCTTCGAGGTCAGCCGAGCTATGGTCAGAACAGGATGCAATGAGCGGGGAGACAAGAGGGCAGAGTGCGCGGGGTTTGCGGGGGACTGGGGCACGGTGAGGCTAGACGGGTGAGACACACCGCTGTTCGACTTGTCGCTCGCGATCCACGACAGAGTCTTTTTGTTCGGCGGTGTCGCGGTCGATGGGATTTGAATAGGCCGAGTACACGACTAAAACATGTGTGAGCGGGCGGGCGAGATTAGCAAAGCCAGATGGTGATGCGAGAACTGAACGTTGGCAGTGCAGAGCATGAAGAAGGGCCTTGTCTTTGCGATGCGCAAGAAACGCGTCCGGCACGGGGGAAGAAAACGCCAACGTGGCAATAATGCCAAACGGATGACTGGCGAGCCAAACTCGCTGAGAAGAGGCATGACGCACGCACCGACAAGAAGCAGAGTGGCAATGGCCAATCCGGCCAGCCTGTTGGTGGATTGGTACATGGCCATCCGGGTCAAAGCGGAGGCGGCAGGCAAGTAATGAGCGATGCGGTGGCGCTTGTGAGAAGTTCCTCCTGGTGTGAATGTGTGTGAGCGTGTGTGTGTGTGTGTGTTGGTCGCCGCGGACGAGGGCCAGCAGGGTGTTGGGAAAATGGATGGCAGGGTGGGTAAATGTGGAGTGGGAAGAGTGCGTCAAATCGAGCCAACCCCCTGGCACGGGAGGTATTCATCCGATTCAACGCCTCGATGTGTGTGTGTGTGTGTGTGCGCGCTGAGGAATGTACCGGCATGCGTTGGAAAGGGCAGGCAGTGTGTTGGCGGGTCAAGTGGTGGCGTGGTCCCAATGCGTCACCTCAAAGCCCACGTACTTGGATGGTCGGTCCATGATGGTCGAGACAATTCTTCGGATGGCCCGAGGTAACGGCAGCCGCATCAGGCTCGGCGATGCCGGTTTCAGCTCAAACTGACAGAGAGAGAGAGAAGAGAGAGACAGAGAGAGACGAGAGACAGAGAGAGAGAGACGAGAGACAGAGAGAGAGAGACGAGAGACAGAGAGAGACAGAGAGAGAGACAGAGAGAGAGACAGAGAGAGACAGAGAGAGAGACGGAGAGAGAGACAGAGAGAGAGACGGAGAGAGAGACAGAGAGAGAGACGGAGAGAGAGACAGAGAGAGAGACGGAGAGAGAGACACAGAGAGAGAGAGAGAGAGAGAGAACACACACACACGCATACACACAAACAGAGACACACACTTGTTCAGAGAAGTAAATGGGGAACGGACCAATAGGAAATTCAAGGCAAAATCAGACAAACGGCATGGGGGGGAAGGTGTGGCAGTGCAAAGCGTACTCATAAGATTAGGGTGGGAGTGTGTGGTGAGTGAATCTTTTCAGAGAGGGGTACGTGCCAGTCTTACTTGGTTGTTCAGGTGACCGTCAACATAAACTCCAATCCTTTACCCATTCAGAGGGAAGTGAAGCAGCCCAGAGCGAGCAAGCTTGCACGCGTCCCTGGCATTCTTCCGTGCCTGCAAATCGCCAGCGCCGCGGACACGCTGCGTTATATATAGTAGTATTTTACTTATCCGACCAAGGTCACCAAGATGAAATAAAAGTATTGTACTTGTACACTACCAAAGTGAGTGAAAGTATAATACTATTCATCTGTGCAACGGCATATAAAGTGTTTTACTTGTACAGTATGAGATGAAAGTATAATACTATTCATCTGCGCCACAGCAGTGTGTGTGTGTAAGTGCAGCGCAAGAGTTACGGCAACTGCCAGAGCCCACGGCGCAGACCCACTCTGGGTTGGCAGATGTTGGGGCTTGATTCTTCTCCAACCCCCAACATGTGACTGGCAGTGACATCAGTTGATGCCCATGCGGCAGAATGGCCCGTGGTGTGTGCGGTGATTCAATGGCAGTCACCTCTCACACGAGCCAGTTCGCACGCACAGAGAGAGAGGGCGAGAGGGCGAGAGGGCGAGAGGGCGAGAGAGAGCGAGAGGGAGAGAGAGAGAGCGAGAGGGAGAGCCCTAAAACCCTAAGAAAGACAACGCAAACATTGTTTTTACGAGAGGTTGGGGTTAGGGTCGGAGATTGCATGCAGCCCAGATTTTGTGTGAGCTCGCAAGGCCATTGAGCGCTACTCGTGCGGGTTCAAGAGGAGCGAGCTCATCAGGCCCAGGGCCGGGCCAGCCTGGGTAGGCACAGGCTGCGGCCCATCCATGTTATTTATTATTAAGAATCTGATGTATGAGCGTTGTTACCAGCCGAGCATGCAGCCGGCAAGAAGGGGGCCAGCGCAAGCACTGATTCAGAGGGCGAGCCAGCAGTAGTGCGTGCGCCGAGTCCTGCCCTTGAGTTTGAGGTCGCCTCGTCATCATGTGACCCAAAGCGCATGCATGACGCGCTCTTAATGTACGTGTGTGGGCACCGTGCCGTGTACGTGTGATAAGTTCTAATTCAATGTGTGGGATATACGCAACTTTGGTGTGGCGAATGTAAAGTGAGATGCGTTCTAAAGCGATTGTCAAGTGTGCTATTTGTACTGTTCACGTATACACAAATCCCATCAAGCGTATCCCCACACCGATTCACAAGTGTGGCATCGGCTTTGAATTTCTCAACCCACTCATTGTGTGTGTTCACACACTGCGAGACGCAACCATGTGCCACCGTACCACACCCCCACACCCCCACACAACGTCTAATAAGCTTATCATCCCACACCCTCATCTTGTTGTGTGTGAAGGATGATGTAATAATTTTTTTACTGAAAATTACACACACACACATAGAGACGGAGTGAGTTTGCAAACGGCAGCGCCATCCGAGAGAGAGAGAGAGAGAGAGAGAGAGAGAGAGAGAGGGAGAGGGCGGCTTGGGTACGCTGGTGCTGGCTGCCGGCTGTCGCTGGGGGTATATGTGATATCGTTGGACTTGTTGTCGTGTTGTTGTGTTGTGTTGTCTTGTCTTGCCGCGACCGCCTGGCTTGGCCTCTTGCTGCATCTTGCTCATTGACGGGGCAACTGCTGCAGCGCGACGGGCGGTGTCGCAGCTGCTGGAGCAGTTGTCTGGCGTGGGGCTGGTCTCTTGGCCTGGGGTCTCGTTGTGTTGGTGCATTTATCCGGTATCCGTTCATTTGTGAGAGTGTCTCTGGGTACTTCTCACAGGGGTCGGGCTTTGCCTTGCGCGCAGCTTTTTAGCCAGTTTGACGTCGACTGAGTCGGCCCATGACGACGGCCGCATTCTAGGTACGCTGCCCTTCTTCGCTTCCCCTCTCTGCCAAACCTGCGCCCCTCCCCGCCTAAACATACACACGCATGTCTTCTGCTTCCGCCCCACTTCGCTCGCTCCTCTCGCACCGCTCCCACCACTGCCGCCGCCATGCCGCCGCCATGCCATCGCGCCCACTACACGCACATGATGCGCCCGACCACATTGACTCTACCCATCCACCCACGCACCCAAATACCTTCCACCTCCTGCTCCTCCTGCCCCTCCTCTTCCTCCTGCTTTTCCTCCTCCTGCTCCGCCACCGCCGCCAACTGCTGCTCCTGTTGCTGCATGTCGTGATTGCAGCAGCAGCTGCTGACCAAAAAATTTCTTCCTCTCCTGTGTCCTTTTTGGTTTTCCTTCAACTGTACATCTGTACAACGCGCGCCACACACACGCTCGCTCGCTCGCTTGGCCATGGCCGCTGCCACAACCCCCCCCTTGCCTAGCTCGGCTCGAGCACACCACCCATCATCCAGTTCTTAGCCTGCGTTTTCGTCTGCAGCACGCCTCAATTGACCTTTGACTTTCTTGTTTGCCTGCTGCACCCAGGCAAAACAACCAAAAGCACTAGCTGGGTTGATAGCCACTTTAGGGTGTCCCTTTCACCAGCATCATGGTGACCCTCAGCGGCGACTTGGCGGCCACATCGGCTTCCACCGCTGGTACCATTCTACTCCTCAATATCGTCGGCATCTGCATGGCCGTCTTTCCCCTGCGCCCAGCCCCCGAGGAGTCGGGCATTGTCTCAAAAGAAGGCATTCGGGTACGCTCTTGCTTCCCCGCTCGGGCCCTTGTCATTACAGCCTCCTCTTTTCGTTTGGTGCTATTCCCCCCCCATCCCCATCCCCTCATCCCTTCTTCCTGCCCTCCCCGCCCTTCCCCCATCGGGCTTTGTTCCGTTGCCGTGTTAGGTCGCATCACAAATTGCCGCACGTATCCTCATGCCTTGCCTATCATTTATCAACGTGGCCGAGCTGCAAGACATTAGCTCCATCTGGCCCGTCTCCATCTGGCATCTTGTCAGCATCCCCTTTTGCATCCTCGTGTCCTACATGCTCTCCTTCCTCTTTCGCGTACCCAATGAACTCCGCGCCATCTTCGTCGCCGCTGCCAGTTTCAGCAACCTCGCCTCATTGGCCTATGTCATCATGCAAACTCTGTGCGAACAACCCGAACTTGACGTCGAGGACGAGTGCTACGATCGCGCTGCCGGCTTTATCGCCATCTCCATCATCCCTTGGCACCTCCTCTTTTGGACCGCCGGCGATTATACCCTCTCCTTGGCCGCCCGGGCTGGCACCGATTACACTCCAAAGGCCCCCCTCTCCAAGGAAGAACGCCGTGCCGCCCGAATCAAGAGTGCCGTCGACCTTCTTTTGAAAATCCTTAACCCCAACCTCGTGGCCACCCTGGTCGGCGTCCTTGTCAGCCAAGTCGACGTTCTGCACGACCTCTTTTTCGTGCCCATTGGTCAAGACAGCGGTCGCCCCCCGCTCAGCTTTGTCACATCCGCCGTCAGCTCGCTCGCCGACGCCTCAGTAGGCCTCACTACCATCATCATCGCCGCCACCCTGGGCAAACGCCTGTTGCGTGTCAACTGGCGCAAGCTTCGGGCTCGTCTGCTCTGCCGCTACCAACCCAATGTCGCCACTACGCACCCAGCCAAAGCCGATTCTCCCGACTTTATCATTGCAACCTCCTTTGCCGCGCTCTCGCCTGATTCCTCCCCCCAGCTCAATGCCGCGTCCAGTACCGCCACCACCACTACCACTGCCGATAACGACAACAGGGCCACTAATGGCGGTGCTTCAGCAAACAACAAGGACGCCGCCAACGATGACGACGACGACAGCAACAACGATGCCATCTTCAACGATATGCCCTCCAAAACTGATGTCGAGATGATTCTGGCCGACAAGAGCGATCCAGCTAAACTTGAGGGCAACGTCGATGCGGCTGCAATTCTAGCCCAGGCGCGCCGCCGCAAGGGGCGGCTCTCCCCCACCTTCTTCTTGCAACTTATCTTTGTTCGCGTCTACCTCATGGGTGGCCTGCTCTTCGCCATGGTCTACCTCATCTCTCCTCTCGTCTTCCCCGATTCTCAGCCCGACTCTTCTCTGATCCGCCTTGTCTTTTTCGTCCAGTGTATCGTACCCTCGGCCAATCTCATTGTTCTCCTCGCCCAACAACGCGGCCTCGTCGTCATTGCTGAGGACATTGCTCTCGCCATGCTCTGCCAACACATCCTATCTGCGCTGAGCTCCATCTTCTTTACTGCCATCGCCCTCTCCATCGTGTATGATGCATAGAGAGCCATAGACCTCACCCTAGTCCGTGGTCTTGTCGTTGTTCTGTGTTGACGCCTTAGTATCGTCTTGTCACCTCTCCCCTCTTCTTCATTGCTCTCTCCTTTTTCCTTTGACTTCATATGGTTTCCCTCCTTTTGGGTCTCTGCCTTTTAGCGATGACCCAACCACTACATGGTTGGTTCCCGCTGTCTGGTAGAACCGCGTCGACGCAGCGCGTCACAGCCCGTCGCTCCTCAGATCAAATGATTCTCGAGCTATGGGATCTTGTATCGTGTTTCTGTAGGCTTTTCTACTCTTCTCTTTCCCCTCGGTGGCGTGGTGCATTGTTTGTCATTGTTGATACTGATGGACAACATGAAAAACTCTTGTCCGTCGTGGCGATAGTGCGCCTCGCCTTTCAGGCTACTCCTATAATTTTTTTTTTTTTTTTTTTTTTTGTTGATCCCCGAGTCGCTTGTGTAATGTTGCGTGTGCGAATGGGTGCGTCTCGGTCTTGCCACTGCCGTTGTCGCAAAGCGCCACGTGGTAAATTGCCGGCCCAGGCGAACACACACACACACACACACACACACACAAATTGCATTATAAATTCGAGCTACGGCATCGTGTCTAGGAATGTTTTTTTCAACAGGACTTGTGCCAATCCCGGCAAAAGGGTCGCAACTTCTTGATGTTCCACCAGCGCATTTTGCATCTCAACGGTCCATGGCTTGGAATGAGCCCAACACATCCACCACCAACCCGCTTTTTCGCGCCTCTTCGAGCACTTGCGCCAAAGCAGAATCTTGGGCATGACCTGTGGCGTTTATCAGATATGCAGTTGCAAGGGACCAGATGGCCCAGGAGTATGATGAGTACAAGCGATGGGAGACCGGGAACAAGACACGCATATCACGGATCATGCACGCCACTTAATCGTAGGGCATACCTCGGCACTCAATCATGTAAAAGAGGCGCGGCTGGCCGATGACGTCCTGAGATTGTTGGAGGTGCGAATCAACGCCAAGCACCTCCACATGTGCTCCAACCAGCGCATTCAAGAAAGCGCCGATAGGTGCGGGTGCTGCTGGCCCTGCATCGCCTGTTTTGACGCGGGAGTCTGTTGTGTTGAGCAAGAGCAGCGTACGATCGTTGCCTGAACGCGTCGTTCTACGCGCACCCGATGTGCACCGCAGCAGAGCAAGAGTGAGATGTGAGGCTGTACAGCTGTTCTGCTGCAGATGGGCGGAAGACATACAACTGGAGGTGGCGGCTAATGATGAGGAAGCGCGTGCGGTTCTCAGCACCGGCGCCTTGCATGTCATGGCGCAGGACGCGCAGGTCTGCAAGCCCAGATGAGCCAATTGAGTCCAAGGACAAACATGAAGAGCGTGACTTGAGGGAAGTGGGTAGGTGGTGTCAAACCTGGGTGCATTTCGAGAGCCAGCTCCGAGACGAGGGCGGCGGCATGTGGATCTTCAGCGGCACGCTGGGCCCCCTCGGCTGTGCTGGCCACGGGCACGCATTTATCAGACAAGTTCATGTCTGCCAAAAGTGCCTGGCATTCCACGAGCACGTTGGCATGTGAATAGACTTTGGTAATCTGTAGGAGGTTTCACGTGTTCAGAAGAGGTAGGTGAGAGGCCTGCAGCGCCAGAAGCGGGCCACATGGACGTGACATGAAGCGAGGCGGGGGATATGGCAAACGCCAAATGAGCCTGTCAGCACCTGGTCCAGAGTGCCTCGCGAAACAAGGCGATGAGAGACGGGGAGCCAAATTTCACCCTGAACGCGGGCTTTTGAAGCGTAGAGCAAGTCATGGACGCGGCGCAAGATGCCCGAGGCCGTATTAAAGTAAGGGACGACACCACAAGCAACACGGTTTTCCATGACGAGCTGGAAGACCTGCCATCAAGTTCAAGGTAAAAAACAGTATTCATAACCGTGGACGTGTGTGAGGGCGGACAAGCCTGCGGTGCCCAGGCGACGGACGGACGGTGGTGCTGGGGCATGGCGGGTGGGGGTTATCCTAGCACACAAGCGTCCGTACATTGTCAATGCTGTCACAAGCCAAAAGGTCTTCGCCTTGCGAGAAGCAGGCCTGAGCAGCGCGCAGGCAGTGAGTGCCAGGCGGGCCCAGGTAGGCGACGGTGCACTGCTCATCTAGGCTGGAGGTTGTTGGGTGCGGAGTGAGCGGCATGCAGATGGTGTTTGATGAAGAGGCGGCAAAGGCATCGGGAGTGCACAAATTGTGGGGCAAGCTCACCGTTGAAGCAGGTATTCCACTTCAATGTCTTTCGTCAGGGGAATCAGAAGCTCGCGATAGATGCGCTCAGGCAGGTCTGGGTCAATTTTGAAGGCGGTGGCCGCAGCGCTGGCAGCGTCTGTCGCAGTAGAATTGGGTGGGGCTGGGCGAGGGACATCGCTGATTTCTTGTCCGTAGGTTGCGGCTTTGAGGCGAACCCGGCGTAGGAGGCGGTCTTCAACGGCCTGGTTGGTGAGGAGGCGCATGAGGCCGTCGGTGTCGCGAGCTCGGATGAGCTGGGTGTAAGCCTCGCGCTGTTCGCGGAACTTGACCTCGGCTACCTGCTTGCCGTAGTGGACGCGTTTGGAGATGGCTTGGAGACAGATAATGTCGGCATCGGCTGAGGAGCCGTAGTGACCATCGTCGCCAGCGGCACAAATGCTGGGCACAATCTCATTGAGGTATTGGTCCAGGACCTTGGCGTTGTAGTTGATGCGGTTGGGCTTGAGGAAGTTGGCGCTGCTGCGCGGCGGCAAGAAGGAGGAGGGAGTGAGGGCGGGAAAGAAGGGGTTCTCATCCTCGGCGTTGTAGCGACCAAGCAGGGCTTGGATGCGTTCTGTCTCGCGGAGAAAGTACTCGAGAAAGCTGTACTGCTGGCCAAGGGCCGAGTGGGTGGAGCTGGCTTCCCACACGCTGCCCTCGCCGCGGCGGTAGATGCGGTCGTTCCGTGCAAAATGGGCGCGCTCAATCAAGGCAAAGATGATGGTTTCTTCCAGCCGGAGCAAGTAGTCGCGCAAGTCCTGCAGGGAGAGTTCGCCGCTGCCGGCCGCCGTCGCTGCAGCAAAACGAGCGCGAGAAAAAAGTGAGGCAGGCAGAATGTTGATCTAAGCATCGCAAGAAGAAATCAAAAAATGACCAAAGACCACCTGCGTAGAACCAAGAAAGGCGGTGGGGCGACGGGGGCGATGGGGGCAGGAGCAGGGCGCTGCCGTTTTGGTGGTACCTGCAGTCGCCGCCATCTCGATTTCGAAACGCGATTCGCGCCTCAATATCCGAGGGGACGTGTTTAGAATGTACAACAGTAAAATACTTTTTCAGAATGAACGTGCGTCTTGTAAGATTGGAGAATAGGTGGTTAACTTTAGAGGGTGATTCAGTTCAAGGGCAAGGGCGCATGATGCGCAGAGCGTGTGTGCTGGGGGATGTGATGTTGAGAGACCATGTCATCAAGAAGGTCCAAGTCGCTAGCTTTCAAAGGTAATATCCTTAATGTCTCAGAGAGTGATGTACCGCTCGGTTATCTTGAGAGAGGTGAGATGTCATCAAAGAGGTCCTCGTCAACCGCGTGCTCATCTCTCTCTCTCTCTCTCTCTCTCTCTCTCGCGTTCGCTCTCTCGTTTTTTTTTTTTTTTTTTCGGGTTCGGCAGCTGGAGTTGGACGCGGGAGCCGGGCGTCTCGAGACAAGCGTGTGCAGGAGCCTGGGAGGAGCCTGGAATAGGGCCGTGGTCTCGTGTAGTGGTGTGCTGGGCACAAGTTTGAGCGTGTTCCAGCCGGCTGTGGCCGATAGATTTGACGAGACGAGCGCACATTTGGCTGCCGCCGTTGGTGACCTCGAGTACATTTCCCATCAAGTTCCGCCGCCGTGCGCTGCGCCAACTGCCAAGCAGCCTTGAAGTTGTGATAGACGGGGACTTGGACTCGTCTGTCTTTGTTCAAGGCTTTTTTTTCTTCTTGGTTGTGGCCGCTGTCGTTTGCTGTCGGCTGCTCCCCCTCGTCAGACAGCCCATGGTTGGAAAGCTACACACCACCACCACCATCATGGAGATTAATGCTGATTACCTGGTACGACGCTCGGGCCGTCCTCGCTCTGGCCATGGTGTTGTTTTAGTGGTATCTGTCTGTCTTGGTTTGCCAATGGTCTTAATGCCCCTGACCATGTCGCTGGACCCTGTGCGCTTCGATCGGGCTCGGGTCGTGGCATGGATTAATATCCCAACGCGCTCGTCCTCACGTTTTGGGGTGTCTTGTTGCTTTCCTGCGTATGCTTCCCATGTGTGTCCGTCTCGCGGTTTTTTTGTTATTCATTTCAGGAGCGGGCGACCGCTTCCAACAAACTCATCGAGCAGCTCGTGGGCTGCATTCCTGCCGACATTTACCTACGCAACTCGGAAACTTCCAACAACCTGAACGTTGGTCTTGCCTCATCACGTTTGACGGAGCTGCCTTTTGTCTTTTACAAATGTGGCTTGATCACCTCACGCCTGCTTCCGCGCGTGCTTTTCCCCCTCCCCCTTTTTTTTCCTTGCCTTTGTAGGAAAAGTACATGGTTAACAAAAAAGGCAACGCGCCCAAACAAGATGTCAAGGATGCCTCGAAGAAGGGCAAGCGTGCTCGCGTAGGTCCCTATGGCTCACGTTGTGGTGTTTCCCACTACCTTGCGTCTCCATTTTTGCCATGCTTTTCACGCACGTGTTCGCTGACCTCGTCACGAACCTTTGGCTTGTTGTCTACAGCTTGATCCCGAGGCGCGTAGTGTCGTGGCCCAACAGGCTGCTATGGCCAATGAGGAGGCTAAAACGCAGGCCGCTCAAGACAGCAGTGACGACGAAGACATGCAGAAACCGGCCGGTGATCAGTCAGTATCGAACGGTGCCACTCGCACGGGACCCGTTTTTAAGCACCTCAGCCACCAGCAACTTCGCGAGCGCCTGCGCCAATCTCAAGAGGTCGGTGTGGGGTGGATTCAATGGAGCGCACCTCATCTCGCTGCCATGCCCGTCGATTCACCATCACACCATTTGCTTCTACCATAGCAACTTCGCGCCAAGCGCAAGGCTGACGTCAACGCCAACCGCAAGAAACAAAAGGAAAAGGTCGGCTCGGCGTGCCACGCACTTGCCGGCCTTATTTCCCCATTCGATATCCCGCCATGAAGGGCTCATGGGGTTTCTTTTTTCTCTTATTCAACGGTGCACATTAGGTGGCTAACAAGCGCGCCAAGCTGAAAGAAGAGCGCAAGACCAAGGCATTGGCCAAGGCGCCCCACGTTCCCGGGTCGGGCGCAGACCGCGCCGCGGGTGCCGCCGATGGCTCGACTCCGGCCAAAAAGGTTCGATGATAGACTTAATTTCTTGACAGTGTTGGTGCTGCTCTCAACCACTTGCCGCCGTTGTCATGTCTTTTGATACCTTTTAGAGCAAAGTTCTGTTTAGCAAGTTTGATTTGGGTGATGCTCGCAAGCCCAAGAGCAAGCCTACCCCACAGCAGCTCTTGCAGCAAGCCGAGGCCAAGTCTGAGAAGATGAAGCAGCTCCGCCAATCCAACCCTGAAAAGGTGCGTGTGGTGTGCGTGTGGTGTGCGTGGGGACGGTATTGCTCTGGTTGATTTTTCACGTCCCTCACTGGCTTCATATGCTATGCTTTACACTCGACGGGGTACGAATGGTGCATTCGGACAGGCTGCTGAGGTTGAGAAGAAGGACGCATGGAGCAAGGCACTGCAAAAGGCCGAGGGCCAAAAGGTGCGAAATGACAACATGCCAATGGCCCAAGGCGGGGGCAATACGTCTCACACTCATTGCCCATGGCACTGCTCGTGTCCTTTGCATTTCCTGCTTTCTCTCCCTTTCTCCAGGTCTTTGACAATCCTTCTCTGGTGAAGAAGAAAATCAAGCGCATCGAGCAAGCCAAAAAGAAATCGCAGCTGCAATGGTGCGTGGCTAATTGCTTTCCTTGCTTGTCGACTCGGGGCTTGCTTGTTGACTCAACTCCATTGGTGCATGTTTGTTCGCAGGACGGATCGTGAGTCTGAGGTCAAGAAGCAGCAAAAGGAGCGCCAGGACGCGCGGCAAAAGAACTTGCAGGCCCGTATCGACGCAAAGCGCGAGAAGAAGGTCAAGAAGGTATGCCAGGCTTTTTTTCTACGCGCTGTGTGTTTGGAGGGCCGCTCCTGTTATATCGAGCCACTTTTATTTGAACTTCTTTTGCGGTTTGACTCATCTTTGCCTTTTGCCTTTTGCCATCTGCTATAGCTCAAAAAGTCGGGCCGTCTCGTGGGCAAGCCAGGGTTCTAAGCCTTTGTCGTGCGGCCTTGAGTTTTTTTTTCTTTTCCTCCTTTTTCTTTTCCCCCTTTTTTTTTTCAAACTTGTTCTCTTGGGTGCTTGCTGCGATACGCTCCTGGCCGAAAGAACCTGTGCTATTCGTGTGTGTGGGATCTGTCGGTACGCAAGTATCGACCTGATCCGCTTGGTGAACTCGAGAGTTGATAGCACCGCCCTGCTCACTTGAATGTCGATTCTATAGAAAGGCCGAGACAGGCTGAGGCATAGTCAGGCAGAGGCAGGCAGAGACCGATTGAGACGGACCGAGACGGACTGAGACAGACTGGGACAGACTGAGACAGACTGAGACAGAATGGGACAGGCAGCACTCAAAGTATTACGCCATCAAATGTCAGACAATCTTCATCACAAGGGCACGTAACGGACACCTACAACTCCAAAAGGGGGCGTAACGTAACGAACTTTGCCATTGACTGAATGGTGTGTGTGTGTGTGTGTGTGGCGGGGTTGAAGCGGCAGCGGCATGGGGATGGGGGAGGTGCGGTGTGGCAAAAGGGTAGGGGAGGGGGTGTGCCAAAGAGGGGAGAGATAGGGAGAGGGAGAAGGAGAGGGAGGGACAGGGAGCGGGGGCGGTGAGCGGGGAAAATGATGATCATATCACATGGGTTGGGAGAGTGCCCGAGTTGGCGCTTCAAGCTCCCGTCATGGGGGCCGGTTCTGGCCAAGTCGAGATTGGGTGCAGGCAGCTGGGCGGTGGTTGATGAGCAGGGCGCTTTGTGCTTTTAAGACGGCATGGGCTCGTTCCCTCACTGACATTTCTCTCTATGCTGGTTGTTGATTGTCGCTTTTCTTAGCCCGGACAGCCGTCTGTTAATCGCCGCTGCCCGTGGCTTGTGGAGCATTGATCCGGCCCGATGAGCTTTACGCAGGCCAACGACGACTTTGTTGTGACAGCCTCCCCGCGACTCAGTGTCCGTCGCGTCTTGTCCGGTGCGATGCCACCCGTGGCGCCCGCCAGCATCACCAACGATGGCAACCCCCAAACCCTCGCTTCTCAGGATCTAGAGAGTACCACGCCCACGCCCAGCGTTGGCCGTCGTGGCCGCGGTCTTGGGCGCCATCGTTCCACCATTGCCAATGCCGTCGAACCCAATACCGCTTTCGTGTGTTTTTGCTCCTGCCCCAAAGCTGCACACAATCACGCTCGCACATAAACGACAGGTCCAGTCTCACCCCTTGAACCCCACTTGCTTGCTTGCAACAGGATATCCCACTTGCTCGTCTCAACACCACCACGAGCGAGGTGACGGGCAGCCACAGCGGTCAGTGCCATCGTGTCTCCTTGCATCGTCCCGCAAACGCATATGTGAATGTCAATGTAAATGTGTGTGTGTGTGTGTGTGTGTGTGTGTGTGTGTGTGTGTGTGTGTGTATTGTGCGTGGGTCGGTGAGATCAGACTTCCCAGACTTGCCCGCTGACCTGCTCTCGGCCGTGCACCTCTTTGCCCAGATGATGAGGATCTTCCCCCGGATTATCCCGAAGCCGACAGCGTGCGTGACACCACCTCGTCCTGCGTATAACTCATAGGCTCGCGCGCATTCCCTTCTGTGTGGCTCGATCCTCACTTTGCTCTCTGCTCGCTCCCCTCTGGACCCTCTCGCACGACAGGCTTTCGACCCCAGCATTTCGTCAGATCAAGGGCTCGCCCTCGAATCTAAAAGGTGCAAAGGCCTTTCAATTCGACTCGTGCTCCGGCGCCGCGTCCTTAATTTGCCTGACGCTTGTCGGTTTCAATGTGGCAACATACTCTTGCTGATTGAAACTCGCGCCATCTGCTACCCATTCACCCTAGTCTGGAGCTTCTCTCCGCATGTCGAGACGGAAACCTGGCTTCCGCGCGGGCTCTCATCCAAGAAGGCAAGGCCGACGTAGCCTACCAAAACGTCTTCCAGCAGACCGCCCTCATCTTTGCAGCAGCGAGTGGAAACAAGGTACTTGCCTCTGTAACCTGCTCAACCCACGTTAAAGCTCCAGCCAAAAGACTGCACCTCGCGCCCATCCCCATTCTCGATTGGACCATGCAATGGCATCGGGCCAACCGTTATCAACCCTATTTGCATGTCGCCACCACCGGTAGGAGCTGGTGCACATTCTCATCGAGGCCGGGGCGCCGCTGGATCTGATCAACGCCAACAACCAAACGGCACTCACGGTAGCGCTCATGCGGCGCCATAACGAGGTGGCCAAGCTTCTCATTTCAAAGGGGAGTAACATCTTAGATTCCTTGGGCAACCTGACCAACGTGCTGGAGGGGGTCAAGGACTATGAGCTTCGCCAACTCGTGTCAGAGGACATGTTGTGTAGCCATCCACAACCCATCAAGATGTGTTTCCACCTTGCCCGTCGCCTCGAACGTCTGGCTCAACGTCAGGAGGAGCGCCAACAAATGTATCGAGAGCTGGCTGAGATTTGCAGCACACTGGCAACCAACCTCCTCTCCCGCTGCCGTGACATGTGGGACGTGCGCCGCTTGCTCGCCGACCACACGGGCATTCTCGATGATGCGCTTCGCCACCAACAGGAAGGCTTTGTGGCCCATCCGTTTTGCCAAGAGTACCTCAAAGAACTCTGGTTTGGCAATCACAAGGCCGCCGAGTCTCATGAGTTTCTATGGCTTCTGGTGCAGTATTTTGGCTGCGCCGTCTTTTTTCCAAGTTTGTCCTGTCGTCTCATCGCCACAACCCTCCTTCTGGGAAACCAGCGCAAGGAAATACTTGCCAAACAAAGCGCACAGAAGGGCAGCCAGGCCGGTCCATACCACCCTTGCCAGAGCCCATTTCTGCCTCACCCAAGCTGCTCGCTGGTGCTGATCCCGCCGTAGTCTATCTGATTGACTTTTTGATGCTGAATCATTCCCGCTTGGCCTTTAGCAAGCTGGGCGATTATCTCATGTTGTGGCACACGCCCGTGATGAAGTTCACGGGACACATGTCTTCCTTCCTCGCCTTTCTTGTCCTGGTGCTGGTCGTGGTGGCTCAACGGGCCAGTCCAACGCCCACGAGCGCAGAAGTCGCCCTCGCCGTCTGGCTCATTGCCATGCTGTTCCAAGAAATACGTGAAATATATCAGACCCCCTTCCGCATCTATGCCCGCTCCATCTGGAATGTGCTGGACGTGGTGTCCCTCCTTTTCTTCTTGGTCGTCATCGCTCTGCGCGTCATTGCCTGGGATAACGATGTGCGTGGCTTGGAGGTGGATGACTTGCTTTCAGCTGCCAACGTTCTGATGGCCGTGGCGGCGGTGTTCTCCATCATTCGCCTGTTGAACATTTTGGAAACCAGCTCTCTGCTCGGTCCACTCCAGGTACGTGCTGCGCTGCGCTCCGCCCCCACCTCGCTTCCCTCGTTGTAGTTTCCATGTTGGGCCAGGCGTCGTAAAACCAAGTTGTTCAAGGAACGTGCTGCATGTCATTGGGCCGCCTGGTTTTACAGATCAGTATCCGCCAGATTTTCACAGATCTGATTGTTTTCCTGACCATCTTGATTGTGTTCATGTTGGCCTTTAGTGCGGGCCTGGCGAAGGTAATGGTTGCCTTGTGCTCACCCGCTTTGCTCGTGTATCGTGTCTGTGGTTCAGTGCTGTGTTTTTTTTTTTTTTTTGTTTTTTTTATAAATTTTCAGCCAACCTAATGTGTGCTGACTGTGGCTGGCGTGGGTTGGCTGTGCTATAGCTCTATGAGCGGGTTGAGCGCTTGCCCGTCAATGACGAGGTGTTGGAGGCCTTTGGCAGCTTTGAACGCTGTTTGCGTACCACGTTTTGGGCTCTTTTCGGGCTCGTAGAGCTTGGCACGTTGACAGTTGAGGGCCGAGACGCTGCGCGCATCCAAGCCACGGGCGAAATTGTGTTTGGCGTGTACATGGTACGTCCTCTTCTGAGCTGTTGGGTCACGGCCACGAGCTTTGGTCACAAGAGCTCTGGCGTTGATGTGTGCACCATCTCGGAGGGGAACCCACGTCCGATTGAATCCGCACCCGCCTTTTCATTCCATTGCCGCTTCGTGCTGTGGCCGACTTTACTTGCATTGCTCCATAGGTCCTCGTGTTCATCCTCTTGATCAACTTGTTGATTGCCATGATCTCGAATACGTATCAACGCATTGCATCCAACGCAGATACAGTGTGGAAGTTTGCGCGCGCACGTCTGATCCGCGAATTCCAGCGCTACCCTTGTGCGTGCCCCGTATGCTTTTCATCCCTGCCGCCCACCCAGCTGCGTACTATGAATCAGCTCGCTCACTTTTGTCATCCGCTGGACTGCACATGTGTGGGGGCGCGTGCTTAGCAATCCCGGCTCCGTTTAATTTGATCGCCGAGCCCATCTGGGCCTTGACGCGACTGCTGGGCTGGAATATGAAGCAAATCCTGCAGCCAGCAGGCTACGGCTCGAGTGACAACGCGGAAGAAGACGAGCAGCTTGCCTTGCTGTTGCAAAACCTAGCCGAACGGCATCGCAAACACCGGCGAGACAACGACAGTCTTGATCAGGTTCGAGGCCCGCCCGCTATCCTCCCTCCTTGACAAACATCACGGGTCATGAAGAGTCTCACGACATCGCACGCGATCCCACGGAGTAGAGCGATTTGGAGCAAATTTGGCAAGAGCTGTTGTCCATGAAGCGCCTCCTGCAAGAGGCCGTGCGCACTCGCGACAGCGAGCTTGGGTCAACGGCCGCGGCTGCGTCGGCCGCGCCTCTGGCTTAGCTTCCTCGTGCACCCGACGAGTGGGCATGCCGAGTCTTGCCCAGAGTTTCACACTCATCAATCAAACGCTTTCTCCCATACCAGCGAGCCAGCCTCCCTTCCTTTTCCCCATCAGCAGAAGCGCAGCAGACGCGCAGCAGAAGCTCAGCGACATGTCGTATCACATTCGAGTGGTGTTTTTCCGAAATAATTCGTGCTAAATGCATGCATGCATGAATCAAAGAGAAGGAGGCACAGCCACATGCCAATGCAGCCCAGAAAAGTTGGGCCCTGTCCGCTCTGACTTAGGCATCTTGAGGGCGAGGGCAGCAGTCGTGGACCATTCCTCCCCTCATCTTGAAGACTAACAACAGATTCAACAACAACAACGGTCGGTGATGGTGGACACAATCGAGGCCTCAGTCTTTTGACATTGTTTTGGTGCCTGATCATCTGCTGCTCCAGGACTTGCGGGTCCCTTGACTTTGGCGGGCGCCGGCGCAGGTGCGCTTGGGCCCCCTTGACGGCTGGTGGGCGATCAGCTGCGTTTGATAGCCTTGTTGCTGCTCCGCAAGACGAACGACGTGCATCGGCCCAGCGTGCGGGGCACAGCAGAGCTCTTGATCCCCGCTCACCATGGCGACCGGGCGCGACGCGCCGTCGGAGACGATCGAAGCACCCGTGTCAGTTCATGCGCTGGCAGCGTCGCTGAAGGGCACGCTGCGACTGAGTCCGCCATCCCTGGCCCCAAAGAAGGTGTTGGGCCTGGTTGCTGAGGCGGACGAGTCTTCGACCGACGATGGCGTGGTGTTGCCGCCGTCCGAGGCTGCCCGTCCTGTGATGGTGCGGCGCCAATCAGCTCTGGCTGCTAATGGTATCAATATAGGGCGCGAGCTTCGCATTGAGCAGCGCCGTAAAGAGTTTGCAGAAAGCAATGGTTCGCTACGTAGCTCATGCGAGGCACGCCGCGACATGGAATGGGTTAAACACACCCTTCGTAAGACCAGTACTCCACCTCCCACTGAGCTTGAGGCCCGTCTCTTACAGCGCCGGGCAAGTGCTGACGCAGACGTGGGAGTGTCCCGGGTCGCAAACGCGAGCGAAGGCACCGAGCTGAGCCGCGCTTTTGAGAAACGGCGCCAGTCCACAACAGCCCTCTTGAAATAGTGGCCAGCTCTTCCGTTGTAAAAGTCAAGTGAGCTTTGCATCGCCTACTGTGGTTTTGCTCTGCTTTGGCGGTGTGGGTCATGGCCACTGTGGCACATGGCGATTGAATTGATGATCATATTTGCTAAATTCATGATGGAGGGATCGGTGGAAATGAACCGAAACGGGAGAAGGGCATGGACACAACAGCGTGGTCCCAGTTGCCGCAGCCGCAGCCAGAGACAATTGGCCATCGTAGATCTTGTATACAGACGCGTACACGGAAAAGGATTGAAGAAGAAAGAAATACAAAAAAAAAAAACAGTGTACGAAACAGGCCCATTCCACCAGACACGACCAAGCAAGAGCAGAGGTCCGAGAAGGAACCAAAACGACACAAAAAGGGAAGGTCCTTGACAAGAAAGGGCGCGCGTCAACATACAGGAACCATACAAAGCCCTAGCAGCACCACCCTACAACGACTCCTGCCCGAGGAACCCATTGTGTGTATGTGCCCGGAGACATCACCCGCTGGATGAGCAGGGCCACAACACACGCACACGACAGGAACGGCAACGACAACAACATTCAACAGCAAGAACAGGACAGTTAGAACTGGGAGGGACACTGGGAAGGGCACAAGGAGCCGAGGAGTCACCATGGCAACAAGAGCGTCACAGGCCACGGACATGGGAGGCATCAAGCACAAAGGTGGGACATCGAGGGGAAATGATACATGAGTTGGGAGCAAGGGTCAGCGGTAGTCCACGCTAAGCTCAGGCTGCCGCTCAGTAGGGCAATGCCCGCTTCAAATGGCTTTCAACAATGATATCACTATGAATGGTACGGGTTCACAGGTGCGAGTGAGGCAAAAGAAACCACTAGGAAGTTTGGTGCTGCAAACGCGCGCACGCGCGAGAGAGAGAAAGAGAGAGGGAGAGGGAGAGCGAAGGGGGCAAGCAGATGAGGAGCTTACTTGACAGCGTCAAAGACGTAGCGAATGTTCTGTGTCTCGGTGGCGCAGACGAAATGCTCATATACGGGCTTGTTGGGGTTTTTGTTGAGGCGCTTGAACATGCCTGCAATGAACTTCTTGGCCTCTGAGGCATTGTTTGGAGGACCATCGTACTCCGGAAAGTAGTCCTTGAGCGGAGTACGGGCAATCTTTTGCGAGAAGAGATCTGTCTTGTTCAGGAACAGAATGATGGCTGTGTTGATGAAGAACGAGTTATTGCAAATGGCGTCGAAGAGGGTGAGGGACTCGTGGATGCGGTTTGTCTCCTGATCCTCGAACAATTTCATGTCGTAACCCGAGAGGGCGGCCACAAAGAGCACGGCGGTGACGTCATTGAAGCAGTGGATCCATTTGCGACGCTCGGACCGTTGGCCTCCGACGTCAAACATACGGTAAATGAGGTCTTTGTAGCGGAACGTGGTTTCAATGACGCCCGTCGTGCGCACACGGGCGCGGAGCACGTCTTCTTGGGTGGGGAGGTAGTTGCTCTGTGCAATGCGGTCAATGTTATTGAAAAAGTATTCAGCTGAGTCGTTGAGCTGGTACTCGTTGGAGCGGCGGAAGCATTCTTGAACGCCCGAGTCTGCCCAAAGGGCCTTGAGGGCTTCGGTGAGTTCAGGGGTGAGGCCGCCCGAGGTGCCGAGTTCAATGTAGCTGAGCACAACCTTGGCGTGCTTGCGGTTCGACTAAAAAAAAAAAAAAAGAAAAGACAAAGATGGACCATCAATGAGCTGAGACCGAGAGAACCAGCAACATACAAGGGGAAAAAGAAGAAAATCCATGCCTTGCCAGTCGGTCGTGTAGATTGTCACAAAGCAGACAACGGGCGGACGCACCTGGTCTCCAATGTCAATGACAAGCGGGCCCATGGCTTCGAGAACAGCGCGCATGCTGTGGACGAGGTTGTCACAGATGGTGGGCTTGTAGCTCTTGAGCTCTTCATTGCTAAAGCCGTCGCCGTGGATAATCTTCATTTGCTTGACCAGGGTCGATTTGCCCGACTCACCGGCGCCTAGAGTGGCGTGGTAGACGGGGTGGGTGCCAAGCAGGAGGGGGATGAATCGAACGGGCCATACGAGCGTCGTGCGTGATGGAGGGATGGACCCGGGGGGAAAGCAGGTTGGGAGACAAGTGTGGGCACAAACCGAGAAGAAGGAGCTTGATGGTGCGAGAGGCCAGTTGCGCATCGCGCTCGAGCTGCGCCTCGACGGCGGCAGTACGAGCCTGCTGTGCCTTTTGCTCGGCACTCATGCAAATGCCCATGTTGGCGGTGGTGTGTGGGGTCGATGGTATATCCCCAAAAGAGAAAGGGAGAGGGAAAGAAGACAGCGGTGCCGCGTCTAAGGACCGAGTAGTTTGTTGTCTACCCTTGCGACTGTCTGCCTTGCGGGAAAGGGGTTCTTTGGCGAGAACTCAGCGTTGCAAAGCGGAACGACCAGCGTCCCTGCTATGAGAGGCAAGGCAGAAAAGAGGGGGAATTCAAGAGCAGGGCACCAAAATCAGGTTGGGCGTGGTTGGAAGGAGCTTCAACAAATGACATTGACACGAAACCAGCAACTTTCACGTCGCTCTTCTCTCGCTCTCGCGCGCTCTCTCGCACACACACACACACACATACACACATACACACACACAAAAGCTTGAAAAAAGAACAAGTCAGTGTGAGGGAAAGGAGTGCTGATGGCAGAGTGAAGCAACTGCACTGCCATTGGCCTGAAGAGGATGGTATGTGTTTGTAAAGGTTGCTCAAGTCATGGGAGCGTCGATCGAGCCTGAGAACGGAGGTGCAGGAGACACAAGGAGGCGGGGTGCACCAGAGAAGGCGGTTGGCCCCAACAAAAAAAAAAAAAAAAAAAAAAAAAAGAGGAAAACAAGGAGGCTGTTCGATGTGACAGCCGCGCGGTCTAGAGCGCGCGGCTAAAGGCAGGGGCAGTGACTGCGTGCGGTAACGGGTGTGTATATGAAGAGCCGGTGCCAAGTGTATCGGCAGCGGCAGGACGCAACATCTCGCTCAGACGGATCACAGTATCGAGCGAGCGAGCGAATGATTCAGTCAGTGCAATGTCGTTGTTCGTCGAGCATGATTGCATTTGTTGTGGTGGTCGAGCAGCTTTGGTCCAGCTGGCTGCCGACTGCCA